ACAGTCCCGCCTATCAGATCGCTGGCCTGCATCGTATACGCCTGGCCACCAAACGTGAGAGACACCTCGACGTTGGTATCACAAGCTAAAGCGGCAAGATAAGTGCTGCATTCTTTCTTAATGCAAGTAAATAAACGTACGAATGACGTAGTAATCTTCCAAGCTCGAGTCGAGCTGGGTTCCTCGAGCCGACCCAGGAATCTGCGCGTAGAACGAAGCAAGGACGGACTAGGAACCAGGTGGATAGTACCTCAATACAGAATAGTTAGTATGACACACATACAATATCGACGTCACGGCACAGGTCGGCATGAATGGGGAGCGCTAATCTCGGTCAATACTAAGTTGGCCTGTTGGAGGCGACCACACAAAGCAGTATCCCGAGGGAGACAACAAAGACTATTCTTCCCATCTCGTTTCCAAACCATGAATCGGAATAGCTTTTACTCCGCTGACGCGATTACGATACACCCAGACCATCGCCCGCCAGATCAGGCTCGCGCCTGTAAGCTCGTTTCAAAACGCTTCAAGGATGCAGACACGCGTTTATTACAGCCCATAAGCATGATTACACCCATTGGGATCAAAAAAAAACCTGGCTGGCATTGTCGCGGAATAAGCACCTGTTGGCTACTCTGCCGGGCCTATCTTCAAACACCGCTCCGCCACATTTTGGGTACATCAGCATGAATAGCCACCCACTACTCCGAGTCGGGGATGTGAAGCCTCGACTGTGTTCGGCGTTCATTGTATACAGTAGTGTAGTGTGGCGGGTCCACCAGCCTTCACTGGTTGGCCCTGACTCACACTACGCTAGTGTGATAGACTGTGCGGCTCCTGGCAGAGGATTACGGCTAAATACAAAAGGTTTGTCGGTTTTGTGGGGCTGGGTGAGCTTCGGCATGGGGCTTTTAGCTGTAAGGATTCCGAATGCCATGTAACCTTAGGTAGTTCGCTTGAACCCAACCATACACCAGGTCATCGACTTGAGAGATACTCTTTGTTAACGTCGTTCTCCACCGCAGCCCGACGTGACAGACAAGCGACGCTCATACGGACGAAGAAAGAGATGGATCATACATGAAAGACACGATAGAAAGAAAATAAATAAAAAAGAAGAGGAAAGAAAACAAAACAAAAAAAGGGGAACACTACGGGACAAAAAACCACCAAAATATAGAAACCGACTTGCACGCAGACCAATACAATGACTGAGGGCAGCACATGAAATACGCAGCGCAAAGTTCCGACGGTGAAAGGAGGAAATAAGACTCCAAGAGAATAAGAGTCCGAGAGAGGGATGTAACTCTAGACAAACACCAAGTTTAGCCCTCTATGAGTTGGCTTCGATCGTGAGGAAGGGACCGGGACTGTTGGAACTCAGCATAGATACAAGAGATGAATGGTTCATGCTTACGCATTAAAAGAAAATATGAAACGTGAGCAGTCTTGTTTCATTTTCCGTTGCAGGACCCCACTGGTTACCGTTTCAACTTGGCCTTGGGAGCTGAAAGGGGGGCCTCCGCCTTTCTCTTCCTTGCCAATATGCTCGAATTTGTGTCATCGTCTTCCTCGGGGAATAGTTTGTCCCTGACTCGCGATTTCTGGGGTGGTTGTCTCCGTCTGTACGGAATGCTAGCTTGTTGAGCGACTTGAGAAAAATTGCTATTGTCAAGTTCCACGTTGCGCGAAGACGCGGTGTCGGAAACCTGTTGAGTCGTCGTTTTGCCAGTTAAAAGTAGGGCTTCCAAGCTGACAGTTGTGTTAAACTCTTCCCAATCGTGGAGCCTACTCGAATCCTGAAAACTTTTACTAAGCCTCGAGAGGATCGGGTGTCTTGGGCTAATGTCATTCTGTTGAATCTTGCACACTGCCTCAACAAGTGCTTTTGACTTGGCACCTTGCAATCCACGTCGTAGAAGCGTCTTTTCGCCAGGTCTCTTGGCCCCTAAAGATAGCAGACCATTCTTATCAAGAAAAATGGGACAACCACTATTAGCGGGCACTTGAGAGCGCAAGAACAGAGGCATAGGCGTGATTGGCATTACGAGGGTGTTGTTCGGAGATGACGGAACGATATACATGATTTTTTGATTCTGGCGGATTTCGACAATCGAGGCTTCATTGTTGTGGTCAGGAGAAAGAGTGTGAACCTTATTTCGATCAAGCATTCTGGAGACGGCTTCTGAAACCGTAACCTTCTCCCATGACATAATTCGATCAATTTCGTGAAGGCGCTCAGGCGTTTTGACAAAAAAGGATGAGGTGTTCAGATGAATTGCCTCGAGCTCCGGTACAAGTCGGTATAGGGTCTTGAGGGCGGTGTCCAACCACGCACATAACACGTCCGGGTCGTGTAAATCAATGGTGAGATCGTTCTCAGCTTCTCGATGCATTTTAATCGCGGTACATGCAACAACTGCATGTAACAGGTCGTCCCAAGCCAGATATTTTGAGCTAACATTCTTTCTCTCTCGTTCGGAACGTCGAATGAATAAGCTTTGGTCTGCAGAGGCCACGATCGGCACCACCCCCCTCGGAGTCTTCCGAATGTCCACTTCGGCGCTGCTATGAAGCTCATAAGAACCTGTCTGGTAGGAGTAGGCTTGTCGGGTGTCAAAACCGACCAAAACGATCGCAGCAACGGATGCCGGAAGATCATCGAGAGTAACGTTATGTTTACGAGATTCTTGATCCGGGAACCAGTCATCTGCAATGAAGCATCCTCTCTTAAGAAGACGCACAACGGTCTCCGCTGGGGAATGCAAAACGAAAGCATCCGTGCGAACGAAAAGTACCCGGTTTGATACGTAGTCGGAGGTAATCAACCCAGCTCTCACAAGTGCTGAGAATTTATCTTCGGTTATTACTGTGTCGAGTGGAATCTCTTCTGGCTGAATAGGATGGCGTAGCCCTCCCCAACGAGAGTTGGTAACACCATCACCCCCCTGCGCAATGAGGGCGGCCTCGAGGTTGTCGTTCACGAAGTCATCTCCGACATCTCCATTGCTGATAGGAACTTTTATGATGAGGGTAGGTCCCGTAGCACCGCGCAAAACTTTCAATTGCCAGTCCCCATTGACGTTTTCGACGACCCCACAATATTGAGAGATCTTCCACATCATCAGTCGACGGTAGATACCGATTTCCAGCTGTGAATGATATCCTTTAACGACGCAGAGCCCGAAAAGAGTTCCTTCGCCGTTCCCATGGTTCAACGGCTCTTGTGTCCTATCTGCCTCCTGCTCGCCTTCTTCCTCAGTGCCTACTTTGTTTGAGCGGATGGAGCGCCTTTGTACGAAGGAGAGCAATTCGGGGTTCTGAGAGAGGATTGTCACAAGGTCCTCGGTTTCAAGGAGAGTAACGAATGGCAGTAGATGTTCCCTTATCACTTGGATGTCGTGCATGAGATGGTAATTGCCGGCGCGGTTAAATAGGATTATGTCGGCCATATGCCAAATGTCGCCTAAGAGCCTAATGAAAAGATCTATTTGCTTTGTTGTTCCAAAATAGTAGTCGTATAAAGGACCCTGGAATTTTCGGAGCCATTGTGGGTGGTATGTCAGCTGTGGATAGCGATCCGTTTGAATGGTGGACATGGTCAAATCGAGAACGGCTGATACCGCAGTAGCGTCAAGATAAGAGGTATTTGCATACAAGACTGGTTGCTGGGGAGTGTTCATGCTGGTGCGGCGTCGCCAGTATACGAGATGGTGAGGGGAACATTCCCCTGTATCCATCAGGAGAATGCATTTCAGCCATCGCCTTTCCTTGCACAAATGATCGGAAACTTTTTGTTCTTCGCCTTCGTCAAGGTTTGAAAGAAGAAATTTATCCCACCACACTCCCATTCGCCCTGTTTGA